CCTATCCAGATTTCCCAGATCCGTACGTTCTATGATGCCACAAAAAGAATCAAAAAACTTGAAAAATAGAAATGAAAATGGCAAGTTTACTGTGATACTCATGTCAGTTTGTAATCATCTCTGGATTGCGTTGAAATTTGGGACTGTAGTAGTCGAACAGAGATCTTCATGCAGTCGGTGAATGGGATTGTCAGTCATCTGCAAAACATGGCTACAACGTTTCTTTCCTGTACACTGCACTTTTTGAAGCGAGTGTACAGAGAAAAAAACACACACAGACACACATATAGATATAGATATATGCTTACTATTATTATTATTATTATTATCAAACTATAAACTGGGAGTGGTAGGGGTCATTTATTAAATCTGGTAATGTAGCCTTGCCATCATGGTAGCCCATAACAAAATTTATAATTCCTTTCTGGGGGTTGTCCTGACGCAGCATTGAAGACACTCCTGACCCTTCTTCCCAAAACTGGGCTGGTCTGCATGTTTCAAGGCAAATGAAAGGTAGCCAGCCCAACTGGGTTTCATGAAATTTATGTTGCAAGGAATGGATAATTTGTGGTGAGTCAAATTGGAATTTCAGCAGCAACATACTTTACACTTTGCATTATTTGAACTTTGGAATTATGCCTTATTTGTTATTTGGTATTTTGTAGAAACAGTGGGTAAGTTTCTATGACCTGCAGTTATCATCAATCTCACAACCATGTGTGTTAGATTCAGCTTTTATTGATTGATTGATTGATTGATTGATTGAAATAATTAGAATGGTGGTGGTATAAGACAGTGGAAGTATCGTGTCCCATGTTGTTGTAATCTGAATTAGTTTCTGAGTCCCCATGATGGTGTTGTGGTGTTTTTTTCTTGCTGCCTCTCAGCTTTTTAGGGTGAAACTCTCTCTTCTTATCACTTATTTGCCATCAACATGAAGGTTTTTGGCAAGGGTTCAGAGTCTACTAAATTATTGTCACTCCAATTTTGATCACTTAGAAGTGATTCAAAGCAGGGTCTTCTTTCAGATAATGCTCCAAAATAAATAATATATATATTTTTGTAGACATTGTTACTAACAATCATATTTGAAAATGAGACTTCATAGTGTGTGACTGTGTGTGTTTGTGTGTGTCTATATGTTGTAATATATCAGAATTCAGCACAAACCAGGTATGGTTGCAGCCTAGGCATGCAATTCTGCAGGGAATTCAGCAATTTTAATCACATGATTTAGATTAGGAACATGCACCTATGGAACAAGCAAAGCAGATAAAAGCAGAGTCTCATTAGACTCATGGTAGGAAAGAATCCATGGAAATTTTATCTTTTTTCATGCAAAAGTTTCAATCAGGGTCATCCTCTTCTGTGATTATTCATGCTGTTGCAACAAATTCAACCATTGTGAATGTGTAAATTAATTAATTGTGGTTATGATGGACACAACAAAGTCTAGTCTAGGTGGTTTAAATGTGGGTCTATGGGGTGCAAGGACAGTGATGCAGCATGGATTTGTATTCTGAAGAAAAGCAGGTTTGTAGAGAAGTTGAATGTAAACAGCTTGCAACCACACTATATTTTTAGAAATTGCAAACCTTGTTTGGAATTTGGAAGCATGTCTGCAGAATCTGGCTTTCTTTGATGTGTATCACAATTAAAAATAAATCCTTGAAACCTGAACTGGACAAGTGTATGGAGTTGAGTCATTCTTCAAAACTGGGGACATTGCAGGTGATTTTGCAAGCTAAAGACATATTGGATTTTAATTAATAAATTAATTAATTTTTGAAGTTTTTTCTATACGTAATTTTATCCAAAAAATGAATAAGTTATCTAAGATAAATATATTTGTCTTGGATTCATTGATATAATAGGTTTTGGGCAATTTTTCATATTCTTTGTTGATGTTTTGAAAAAAAAGATTGTTTTGAGGGAACGTAATCTTAAGAGATCACTATCAAATTATGAATGTTTTTATTGTATACTATATTTCCCATCTAAATGTTCAATGGATATTTTTTAATTGATTTCAAATTAGCTGATTGATTTGAATATAGACCCTTTTTGTAAAATACTATATACGAGTGGTCAACTTCAGCATGTACAATAAGTGTATATATATATATATATATATATATATATATCAGCTTTATTAAATTATATTATATTATATTACATTTTTTTATCCTTGCTTCTGGTTTATTCTTGTGTAATCCTTCATTTGGCAATTTAAATGATATACTGTAGGTAATATTTTCTGCCCTACAGAAAATTTTAAATAGTGCTGTCGAGCTTAAATGCAAAAAGGTGGTTTTTATAGAAAGAGGTAAATGAATTTAACAAGGTTTTATTTTATTTATTTTATTTGTTTTATTTTTTTATTTAATGAAATAGGATTAAGTTTTTTATGTTTTAAAACATTTATCAGTTGTTATTATTATATTTCTATTTATTTATTTATGAAATCCAAATATAAAAAGTATTAAAACTTACCAAAAAAAAGTTAAATAAAAAGAAGCGAGTGGTAGATAATATCAATAAATTATATATCCTTTTTTTATAATTAAATAAGTAATAATCATAGTGCAGAAATCGAATAGGTCTTTTTTTAACCTTTGACCACCTTGATCAATTATTACAGAATTTCTGAAATCAATATATTAGACCTGAAATATTAAAAAGAATGTAAATGGATTATATATTTAGTCTAAAAAATTTTCTGATCTTATTTTAGTAACTTTAATTATTTTTGATTACTAACTTGGTTTTAATGTGATTAATTGTAAAGCAATGCAAATTGTACAAAAAAATTAAACACTGAATAGGATTTTGGACAACTATTGGCAAAGTTCAATTTTTATTTTAGAAAGAAAATTAATATGTTGAAAAATACATAGAATACAACAAATATGAATTGGTTGCTGGTATGTGTTTGTTCCCACCGGCTATGGAAAAATGTCATTCATCCAACATGCTTCTTCATAGTGAATGTGTGTGTGCACACATCCCCTCATCAAAACCCTAAAACAGTGTACCCAACAACATCCAGCCAGCATCCAGTTCATTGCTGTTTTTTCGAACCCCCCTCTTCTGCCCAATTTCCATTTGCTTTCACCAGATCAATCAACCTGTCACCTGGAGGAACATGGGGAATCCTGCATGGATGGATGGATGTCGAATGTGATAAGGATGCATAATGGATGAGGACATGCTCAAATACCTGGATGGATGGATGTGTGGATGAATGGATAGGGGGAGGGGGCAATGATAGATAGTCCCTCTCGCTTTCTCTATCTCTTCCCTTGGCTGCAGTGGAGGGAGTGCCATGCGTTGCTCATGAGTCTAAGTGGTACCCAGTGAATGAATGAATGAATGAATGAATGGGGAGGGGGATCTTTCTTACACATTTTTGGTTTCTAGCAGTGAGTGATGTTGTCTATTTGATGATGTCTACTCATTTGATGTTGTTGTAGTGTGTGTGTGTGTGCACGTGTAACTAGCTGGTCCCAAGGATGATAACCTTGCTCAGCATGATTATGCATGGATAGAAAAAAGAATAAAAGGAAAAAAAATCATGGGGAAAATTATTAAAGAATAATGGAGAAAAGGAAAAGAAGAAATAAGTAGTAGTAGTAGAAGAAGAAGAAGAAGACACAGGATGAAGAGGAGGAGAAGAAGGAAAGAAAGAAAGCAAGAGAATGAAAGAAGAGAGAATATTGCATGGATTCTGATATCTTTGAAATGGAATGAGCTTGAAGGTTTTATACCAAGTGTGGGTGGAGTTTGGATGAGAAAATTATCCATTTGTTGCAACTCGTTTATAAAAAATCAAGATTAAAAAACAAAAAAAATCAAAAATCAAATCATTCTATGATGACAAGTCTGGATTTTGGATGGGAGAAGACACCCAACCGAGGATTTCAAGCATCTTTCATCACAGTAAAGTCCATTTAGATTTAAACTCTGCAACATAATCGTTCCTATATACATATATATATATATATATATATATATATATCAAATAATGATATGGAATCTACAGAGAATTAATATGACCTTTTATATATATATATATATATATATATATACACACACACACACATACATATCTGAAGGTTCTTTAATTTCAAAAGTGCTTTTTTTTCCCATCCCTCACAATCACGATAGAAGAAGGCAGTATGTCTTATAGTCATGCCACCAAGGCACAGAGAGAAAAACAAAATAAAAAAAACAAAACAAAACAAAAACAAAAACAATTATAGACATAAATAAAATAAGTAAAAGGGGGGTGGGGAAGAAAGCCACCTTGAGGAAGAGTGGTTCATGCACACACATTGTGAGCCACAAGGGAACGGGAAAGGGCGTATCAGAAATGCGGAGCGAGGAGGGGTGGGGAGGGGCATGAATGGATGGATAGAGTTACTTTGGATCTGGCAAGGCAAGACAAGGCAAGGGATGGATGAATGATGTAACAATCATCCTCGCAAGGGAATGGATGAATAATGGGGAGCACCACCGAACGGAAGGATGAAAAGAAGAGCAGGGGATGGGAGTTAATGAGACCTGTATCGGGGGGTGTCAGGGCGGTGGATGGATGTAAAGATGAATGGGTAAAGGATGGATGGATGAGTACGACGACGGGGGTGAGTGAGTGAGTGAGATAGAGGTGGATGAATGGAACTACGACTCATCCAGTCCTGACGACGTCCCTGACTCGTTGGGAGGTTGGGGTGGGGGAGGCAATTCGTAATCCGGCTGGCCCGGGCATTCAATGCCCGGACGGACAGACAGACGGACGGACGGTGAAGAAGAAGCAGCAGAGGAACGTTGGCTTTACCCAGGGGGCTAGAAGGGATGACGGGTGGGGAACGGAAGAACGGAACGGTAAGGAAGGAGGGGGAAGGGGGGGGAGCCTTGATTGATTTCGTGTCAGTTGTAATGGCGATGATGCAGTATCAAAACCAGCAGCAGCGGAAACAAACAAACAAACAACAGAAGGAGGAGGAATGGGAGGAAGAAGAGGAAGAGAAGGGAGGAGGACAGGCAGGCAGATGGATAGTGGTGTCCCTCCTCTTCCTCTTCTTCCTCTCCCTCCATTCCATTGCATTCTGCAGAATGGACAGCCAGCCCTGGCTCGTCCTCCATTTCTGACATATTCACCCATAGCCCCCCCGCTTACTGTTACTCTCTCTTCAAGCTTTGCCCCCACCCCTTTCTCTTCTTCTTCCTCCCCCCCCCCCCCCCCCGTCTCTCTCTCTCCCTCTCTCTCTGCCACTCACCTTGCTACTGCTGCTGCTGCTGCCTTCGGATCGCTGGTGCCCTTGGCGATGGAAAATGATGGCATGATTTGCTGGAAAGGTAAATGTCCCCCGACCGAAGGCTGACATCGCCCCCGTTGGTTGATGAAGTAGTCTGAGTGAGTGTGGGAAGGAGGAACGAGGTTGTCCTCACCTCAGAGGGTGCAAGCTCGTCGCGGTGCCAAGTTAGCGAGCACACCCACTGCTTTTGCTGTGGGGAGAGAGAAAGTGAGAGTGTCCAAGGTGTATTTCGGGTCTCGCTTTGGGGGTGCGCAGGTAATTAAGCTGAGCGCGTGGTGGAGCGATTAGCGCAATTGAATTTGTGAGTCGTGGAGCTCATGTGGTGAATTGGTTGTGGACGTGGTTGTGTGGGATGTTGACTGGAGGTGGAAGTATGCAAGTCTGATTGTTGCAGTACATGAGAGGAGTAGCGGAGCTGAGAGTGCATACGAGTGGGGCTCGTCTGTGTTCTGGAAGCAAGGGGGCACTATCACAGGGAGAGGCAGGTGACTGCGTTGGTGACAATGGTGACAAGGAATAGTAGCCATGGTCGTGACATGAAGGGAAGTTTTCATGAGGAGAGGCAAGGTATGTGAGTTTCAAAGGAGTGGACGAGTACTGTTGCGCTTGGAGAAAAATGAGCTCTTTGAATGAGCCTGGCTAATGCCGAATCGGGCGCCCAGGCATGAAGGAGAGAATCGGCCACATGCAGCGTTGCCAAGCGCAGAAAGAGGTTGACGATTTGCTCATATTAGGTGTTAAGGAAGCATAGCCTTTTTGAGTTACATGAACGTTACGGCATTCAAACCTAGGACCGTCACAATACATGGTTCTAGAATCAGTGTAAGCCTGTGACATTGTCTGACTGCACTGGTGCAAGTGAGTACAATTAGAACCAGTGTTGTTGTGGTTCAGCACAGTAGCTGAGATCATTGTAGATGTGCACCAGGAAGATCAAAATGTGTATGATATTCTTTGACGAGAAGGTCCTTACACCCCTGGGGTAGTAGACTTCGCGACTCCGAAATCCCCGCTGTATTTATTGCAGCGGCGGAGGAGCGACGTGAAGAATGTCCTCCTTCGTATCCCCTCATTATAATGCCACGGCACCAGCACCGATAGACGGGGTCATCTATCCGGGCGTCCTCCCACCTGCGGGCCAACGAGCTGCAACCCCGGCAGCGTCAGGTTCCCGAAACCCACACATCAACCCCAGTGTGGTTGTGATTGTAGTAATCCTCAGCGTAGTGTTCATATTGTCAGGGTTCCTACACTTGCTGGCGCGTTGCCTGGGGCGGCGGCGCCAACCTCCCCCGCGGCATCACAGCCCTCTTGTGAGTGCGCTTCATGGCCAGCTGCAGCATTTGTTTCACTTGCACGATGCAGGAGTTGAACAAGCCTTCATCGACACGCTGCCAGTGTTCTCGTATGGTTCCATCAGGGGTTTGAAGGATAGTGCAGATTGCGCGGTGTGTTTGACGGAGTTCGGGGACGATGACCGGCTGCGGTTGTTACCGAAATGTAAGCATGCCTTTCACTTGGAGTGCATTGACACATGGCTGTTGTCGAACTCGACATGCCCCTTGTGCCGTCGCAGTTTGCTTCCTGACCCGGTTGTCCACGGTGGCGCTTCGAGCTCCCACCATGGACAGCTCGAGATGGTGTCTGCCTCCGACATGATGCACTCGAACAGGTTCATATGTCCTGACCAGAGGCGCTTTTCCCTGGAGGAACAGCTTGTTCGAGACTCCCGCCGCATAAGCAGCCTCCACGGGAGCATCCACGGCAGTTACCAGAATAGCTTCCGCATTTGCGATGTAGCTGAAGTCGAGGACTCCGAAAACGAAATTCAAGAAATTCAGGAGATTCAAGAATTTCGTACCCAGGTCGAGACCCCGAGCCCTTTTGCTCCCACTATTCGCGTCATGGATGAGCACGGCATACATCGAGTGCTCAAGGTTGAGCTCGGCAAAGTAGCGGGCCGCAAAGTGAAGACAGACTCCCGCAAGCTCACTCGCAATGGTGGGCGATCGTACTCCATGGGCAGCTACGAGTACATTGTGGACCCCTCCAACTGGGAGCTTATGATCGCGCCGACTCCGTATCCTGGTAGACCGCAGGACTGGGCGCCATCGAAGCCCACACATCGAAGCGCCCTATCTGACAGCATCCCAGAACTTGCAAGTGCAGGCGGCACGCCCGCCAACGACGAGCTGTTCTGGGCCAGTCGCGGCCTTTACACTCCCAACACATTGTCTCGCGTCCGGGAGCTTCTGACCCCCATAGGATCGGAGTACTCAAATGCAGGATTCTCCCCGGCTGCTTTCCTAGACTATTCGTACTCGCCGGGGCAAGGAGATCGGTGGATCGATATTGACATTGAACGAGGGGAGATCATCGAAGACGACGAGTTGGAAGCAGCATCCAATCAAGACAAGGAGGAAGCCAAACTCGAAAAGTCAAGATTCTCTAGTACCTCTTCCTCTAAGTCCGAGTCGGCGACTGCGCATGTGGTCGCTGTTGACAAGGAAAACGATTTCAAGCAACGGTCGTCGTCGCTCAGCCGGTTGCCCGAAGGGAAGGTGAGTGTGAGCTGGTACCGACGATCGTTGTCGGAGACATCGTTAGGCGTGGAGCAAGCTGTCAAGGATCCTGCAAAGCCTAATATCTGGGAGGTGGGAGTTTCCGCACCCGAAACGGCAGCCTCAGCCTCGGATGCTAACCTAAAGGTAGGATCGTTTTCGCGAAGATTTTCGCTGAATTGGATCATGTGCAGAGACAAGAGAGTGGTGTTCTCCGCGGCTTCGCCGTCTCCGCAATCGGACCCCAAACAGAGGACGCGGCCCATTACCATATAACCACCATTCACTTGTGTATAGAACTCCAATTCGCTGGTTTAGTCGGCTAGTATTCATTCCGTGCACGTCTGCCATGGGTGCGGTTCAGGCCTCATGTCTGCGCACTCGGTATCGTTTTGTGTAGGAGGAGTCGCGACCAGAATCAGTGCTCATCTCGTCGAGAACTAGATCTAGCCACAAAACGATAATTTAGAAGCTGTTTGTCGATGACTGTTTTGGCAAAAACTGTTGTGCTGTGCGTGGTACCTGGCCATCGTTTACTGAAACATTCTTATCAGGAATCTCTGAAACGTTTATTTCAATAAGAATGATTGGGTACATGTCCCATCGATTATGTCGTCTCCCGAAGGTGCGTGCTTGTTCGATGATGGCTCATTCCAGGTTGCGACAATTGCTTTAAATTGTTGAAGAGACTTAGTTTCGACACCCCAAATTCGTAGTCTCTTACAAAGGATCAAATTTTCGAAGCTGGACATGCGAACGGAACTGAAGTGGCAGAACCAGTGTCATAGAAAGTAACCACGTCTTACATTTATTTTGCACAGAAGTTGGGAAGCTCAACAATATGGATAAATGCAAACGTTGGCTGCCAGTTCTCTGTCTCTTGGGACGTTGTGACCGACCCCTGCACCTTCAAAATAACTGGCTGTGTCTGCAGCCATTCAGAAACTGTAGAATCCCAGTGGATTCCCCAAACGACATCATACGGAAGCGGCTACAATACGGTTAAACACTAGGTTACTTTGAAAGATGTCTCCAAGTCTCCACAAGGACTTTTAAAAAACGACAGGCCGGAATTCTGCGCTGTCTGATAACAACTCTTTTTGTTTAGAGAGACTCCAGTAGTTTGATTTGAACCATCACAATCTCTACCGAGTTTATTACATTGCCGGAAGAAATACTTATGTATTTTACAGGTGTAGTGCGATACTACTTATGTGCAGTTGTAGTAGAGAGACACAATCATACACATTACTGGAATTGAGAGAAGTCATTAATTCCCATGACAAAATCTCTGCGAGCTCATTTAAGAGGGTAGCAGAATGGATTCCTACAGCAGCCAGGAAAACCATGAAAACTAATTATACACACTCCCCCCTCCCCCATCCCCATTCCTTCTTGTGGGGCCTCACCTGGTGTCAGCAACCCAGCTGTGATAGGAGGTACATGCATGATCTTCAATACTAGCCCTCACGTACTTTACAGTTGGCTTACGCCTTCACCTCTTCAGAGCATCCCTACCGATGCCCCGCTAAATGAGCGCGCCATTGGGCTCGGCTTCGTGAAGCGCACAACTGAAGCTCAGAACGTCCCCACCAGTCCGCACGGTACAGGCCCCCGGGAAAGAATGAGGGTGCTTCCCATGAGGCAGGTTCATTTCCTGGGGTTTCCTTGGCTTCCAAGCCCGCATCAATGCAGTTATACCGGGCCCTGCAAGTGCTTTGCAGGGCAAGGCCTACGGGTGGAGCAATTCACGCCAAGATCGGGTTCGCCCACGCTATAATTCGGGTTGGTATCTTTTGAAGGGGAGCGGTGGAGATGCTTCCCCCGTGGAAAGCCCTCTGCGAGAGGACCACCGACAGACAATCTTTATAATATTTGAGTCCATTCTGACAGTCGAAGTTGAAGAAGCAATGCATAATAATAATAATAATAAGCATGGTGACTGGATAAGAGTCCATTGCACCACTAGCTTAAGACTCAAGTATTGCAGCATTGTATACAGTGTCGAAGTGCAGCTTCCCAAAACCTGTGTATTGGCCTTCAAGGGAAACGACATACTGGATGAGGACCCAAGACCCTGTTATTATTATTATTATAATTAACCCAATTATACTTTTATATATAAATAATATAGTTATAGTGGCATATAAAAGTCGAGGGACCATGATCTACAGCAACAACGTTAGTGCAAGCAAAACCCATCTCATATCCAGTCTCTATTAAGAGGTTGGAGCTGCTCAAGGAAAATATTAAATCAATATATCTATATCTATATATATATATATACAATACACTCATCCATGCATGGTTTCTTAAGAAGACAAATCCTAAATGGTAATATATACCCTGACACTTTTAAAAAAACACTGTGGCAATCATATAAGTTTGCCTTCTTAACATATAAAAGAATGCTTTTTCTTGTGAGTTTTTCTTTCTTTGTGTGTGTGTGTGTGTGTGTATTTTTGTATTACAAAGGGAAATGGATTATATGTAAAGACCTATAAAATTTATCAATTGAACTAGTAAATTTTTTATTTTGTGCCTTGACCTTACATGCAATAACAATATTTCTAGTAATTCTTTTCAAGGGTTGCTTTTATATAAATAATTGCAAAAAAAATGAGGTATGTAATTACTGATTATCGTTGCATCTATTCCCAGCAGCTACTGTAGAATCATTTGGGTTGTTAATGCAAAAATACAAACTTTGTGTTTGACTTAAGATATAAAAATAAAATAAAATAAAATAGCAGTTGGCAGGTATGCATGTCTGGATTTCAAAGATGGGTGTTTGGGTCAAATGAAATAATTTGTTTGCACACTTGGTTTCATCGATTATACAAAAAAAAAAAAAATAATAATGTATTTCGATTGGTTGCAAAGTTTGAAATTCCTTAAAAGTTTGCAAGAAAATTATCAAAATTAGATCGAACTTGACATAAGTCATAAAACATTATAAACTATTATGTATTGTTTTTTTGTTTTTTTTTTTAAAAAAAAGAAAGTATACTCTAACGTTTTATCTTTTGAGAATAGTTCATCAAGTTGCAAAAAGATAAATTATCTCATTAGTTTGAAGAAATTTAGCAAATGATGTGGAGCTGGAAGAGATAAGATAAAATGTTGCAATCCATTTTAAAAAAAAAAAAAAAAGACACGAAATTCAAATACCTCGTGGAACTAGACTACTTCACTTTTTAGAATCTACACACATGAAATTACAAGTGATACTTAGTTTTAGTTAAATGTAGAAGCTTAGCAAAAAAAAAAAAAAAAGTAGAGAAAAAAGTTAAAATAAAAATGAATTACTAGTGCTCTAAGTAAATAAAAATAAAAATAACATAGAGAACATTTCAAAAAATATTAATAACAACAATAACTAGATTAAAGTTTAATACAAAAAATAAATAAGTTTTTAATGCTACTAGATCTAATAAAGCTTACTTTTCATTTTATGAAATGTTCAATTACAGAATAAGTATTTTAAGTTGTGATAACGTTGAAAAATTTACATGATATTAAAGTGAATCCAATGTTTTATGACTTGTCACATACCTTATTTAATGGGCGTAAAGTATGGCCGAATTTCAAACAAGTAATTATACACCATTCAAAACATGAATGAAAATTACACAAAATTTAAGATTTACGAGATATATATTTCATGACTAAAATATAAGGAGACTGTAAGAAAAGCGGTTTTATTTCATAGAAAATTATCCAAAATTTCAAAGAAGAAAAGACACTGATAATTATGATCTTTTTATGAATTGAAACATAGTAAATATTAAGTTTTTTTATGAATATATTATTTTTTAATTTTTATTTTGCAATAAAACCTAGTCTCAACATTACTTGCTATAACTTTAAATGACATAAATGATGATTCTAAGAATCTTATGTTTCATGCAGATGAAAAAGAAGTGTTCATTTTCTCTATTCTTATTTTAAGATATTAGAAAAATAATCCTCTCTGATATTTTGGTGCACCCAAAAAAATCATGTATCCTGTTATTGCCTCTGGTAAATTATAATTCTTAATCAACATCTTTCCATTAGGTGTCATATGGTGTTTTATTCGGCATGTTTATTCCTGCAAACAGAGGATGAATTTTGGTTTTGATATTCCTTTCTCTTAAATAATCTTGATTTTTTAAAAAGAAAGATACAACTATCTAGTTAAATATTTTAAGATTACATACAATTTAAACTATTTTTTTCAATATGTTTTTTTACTTTTTATTTATTTTAATGTTTATGTTTTAAGAGTTTTTATGTACTTATCCATAATAGTTAATTGACCATGTATATAAAAATCAATAACACAAAATTACTAATATGTTATTTATTTATATTTTTAGTATATTCATTAAAAAAATTATTATAAAAATTAGAATACAAGGATATAATATTATAGTATATAATTTTTTTAAAGAACCTAATTCTATTAAAAATTACGAGTTACCTTTTAATTTAAAAATATCACATAAACAGGTTGGTAAAAATCTAATTAATTTTATTCTGTTGCATGTTTAGAACATAGTTTTTTCGTTGACATATATTCCTTACTTGATATAATGATGTAAAAGATTTGTTGGAGTTAAATTTTTTGTAACAATGATAAGATGATGGGCACATAGTTTGCATGTTTACGCATAATTTCTGCAATATTAAATAATACAGTATAATTTGAAATACAAGTCTATTAAAAAAATTGTAGAAAAAGAAGATTTATATATTATTCGAAAAAAATTATAAATCCCTAAAAACCTCTTAATATATGTTGAATTTTTGAAATAAAAATTCATCTTTGTATCTATTTTAAAATTATCATTTTTAACATTTTCAACGATTAATTTTTATTTTCATCATATTACGTTTGATCAACTAAAACTAAAAATTCATACAATCAAAGTATATGGGAACCTAAACTGATATTATAGATTGCTTTGAAAAGAGTTGTTATAATTTTCTGTGTAAATCCAATCAACTTTCTACAATAAGAAATTATTTCAGTGGAATGGACATAACATATGTCAAATAATGAGAACTGAATAAAAGCCATCGAAAAGTGATAATTTATTCAACAGAAGGCTATAGTTCCAGATTTCTAAAATCAAATATCATATTTAAGTAGATGGTTACAGTGAAAATGTCTCATCACATCCTAATTTACAAATTATAGAATTTGTAAACTAAAAATCATACATAAAAAAGAGTATATTTTCAGTTTATTTTCTATGATTTATTTTTGTCAATTCATTTATTTAGTTATTTTGAAGATAACGTATATCCACCAATACAAATCTAAGCCTATTCATCTTACGTGACAATTTTTTCAAATTTTCTGTGACACACTTTTTATTTTGAATTGCGTTTTCATAACAACCTTCTTGTATAATCAATTCTTGTTTAGCCTATTACACACAGGGTTTTTTTATATTGATTTCTTTTCATAACACAAAATCAATAAGCACTCTAGATAATTTATATATTATTCAAATTTATTTCTAATATTCTCCAATATAAATCTGACATAAAAAATCTAAAATTAAAATTTTATAACTTAATTTACAAATTTTAGAGAGTAATTTGTGAAATTAAACCTTTTCATGAGAATCTTTTATAAGTTGATGTTGCCTCAAAACTTTATTCAATATTTGAGAGTGAATGTCACGTTTTTTTTCAGTGGCATGAAGTTTGAGTCCAGCTTCTAGTCTCCGTTTTTTTGCTTTTGTGAGAGTTATTTTTGCAACATTTAATTTTTTTTCTGTGGTCCATTTTTTTTCTGATAATTGTTCTTTCAACTTAAGTTGTACACATTGTAAAGAATCTTTTCCTCTTTTAGTATTCAATTTTCTTTTTGTTGATTTTTCTTGCTTCCATTCTTCTTGCGTGATAATTTCTTGCAGTGATTGCAATATCTCTTTCTTAGTTTCAACATAGGTTTTGATGTTACAATATTGAAATGGGTCCATTTTCACCACAATTTTCTTGACATTGTTTGCTTAAAAAAATACAAACTTTTAAATATTTTAATTTTAGATATGAAATAAATTTTGTGAACTTAATGTTACAATTTTCTGTCAATTACATTGATGAATGAAGTTGTTAGCGTTAGTAAAATGTTTATAATTCTTTGCATAAGTGGTATGAAAATAAGTGTGTAACTTTTAAAAATAAAATTTGATAAAGATTCCCTACAATATTGCATGACATGTAATTGAGATGATTCTCTCCAGAAAATTCATTGTAAATATGTTGTTATTTTATGAAGTTCATTCTTAAGTTTCATCTCAAGTTTACACCTTTTTTTCAAACAAAAATAAAAATAAACATTGTGCTCACTTAATTTCAATATCCCATATGTAACATCTGTAATCATAAATTCAATTTAAATTATGAATTGGGCCAAAAACCAAGAGTTCTGAGGATTTTTGAAGTTACAGTTTTCAATTGTGTTCTCGAATTTCAACAGAACATTATTTCATAAGTAGATTCAAGGAAATTAAGATTAACTATTTTATTACTCTAATTTTTACTTTTTGAAAATTATTGCATCATAAAATATAAATATATCTTAATTGAGTTTTCATATTATTCAATATTTCAAGAACAGCATATATTTTTTTAAATGTATTTAGAATAAATCTTATTCAAAACATTAACAAATATTTTCAAATAATTAATGTGGTACTAAGTATGATGAATTATCGCATTAAAAAAGAATTGGTTATAAAATCAACCATTCTGAGTCATTTCTATTAATTTAGGAATATCAATAAACAGAAAGTATTAAACTAATGAAAATTTATTATAATTCATAGAATATCAATAATATATGTTTAGAAAAAATAAAACGTACATATTTTATTGAAAACTGATACAATATAGTCATTTTTTAAAACAAAAACTTAAGGCTGTTTTGTTTTATCACTAAAGCATATTTTATGTTGAACAATTTTTGAATCTTCAAATATTATTGTGCAAATATAAAAAGATTTTTGAAAAGTAGACGCATTTACATATTAGAATGTGCATATCTATATCTATATATATATATATATATATATATATATGATTTTGTAAAAATTGTTAGAGTACAAAAATTTCTCTTTGCATCTGAAGGGAAAAACAAAAACAAAAACAAATAAACGAAAACATTACAAGTCTGCCACAAAAATCACTCAAAAAAGCTGAATGTGGTGGTTCACAAGTTATGACAGTCACTCTTTTTGGCAATTTGGGGAAATGTGTGGGATTCTGCAACATCGGTTTTCGGTGGTTGACACCAAAATGATACCCAAGCAGAGCAACAATTTTTTGTCGAGATTTCGGTGTCTTGGTTGCTTCGAAACGAGAATACCGACAACATTGAACAAGAGAATATTTCCAGGGTGCTATTCCCAAAGCCATCACTGCTACGACACCCTACGTTCAGATCGAGGCACATCTTTGCTTAAGCAACAATACAGGTTCACATGAGCCAATGGAAAGTGTTGAGTATCTTCTGACATAGGGTGTTGTGGAATTTAATCGATCTATCCTAAATACGCAAAACTGTGTGATATTTTTGGAAACAGCAATATTGCTTCAAATTCAAAGGGAGAATATGCTATGCGAGATGCGTATCATTCAAACAATGGAAGGGCCATTCAGCGTGTGTTCCAACATTATAACCTCTGCTCTCTTTTGCATACTCATCTCTAAATGTAGTTCCATTGAGATGAAGTTAGAAATTGAGAGGCTGTAATTAAAGCAGAGTGTTGCATCCAAATTGCATGATTCATAACCGAGTGAATCATTATGTAGACATGAGGTATCAACAGTAGGGGGGTTTAACTTCACATTACACAATTCACATTCAGGCTATTTACACTTGAAATACGAAGAATGATATACCTGCAGGACTTGAGAAACTAAGCGTTTCCACATGGTCCAAGTTTCCAGCCGATTTTTTCAACTTCTGTGCAGCCTTCGACTGACCTCTCAATTCTCTCTAATCACAAAAACTCATGAGTGCTCTTCACTATCTCTTGCTTGTGATATTAATCTCACAAAATGAATGGCTCCAGTCACAAACGTTAGCGGTGTAAGCTGTGTGGAGTCCGTGTGCGAATATAAATAGGGATTTATTGTTGCTACACGAAGGTCCACTCCCCTGAAACAGTCGGTGTTGGCCTCTCGTCGGCGATGAAGGGTCTTGAATGCTTCTTCTCAAATATGGATGACTTGCCTTCAAATATTCGGGAGAACAGATGTCCAAAATCGGCTTTAACGAATTGTTGGGCTTGTGGCTGATCGATTGACTTCCGTAATGAAACATTCTCAGCTTCCTTAATGGGGACTGGATCTGGTAGATGACACTTGTCATCACTCTTAACAACAGTACCTATTGGTGCGGTAGTTATTGCAGGGGCCTCCACAGGTTCATCACATGGCGGTGAGTGGATTGCACTCTCCATCACTTCATACACCTGCAAAAAAAAATAGCTGAGCATCAACTGCCACTTTGAAGTCAAATGTTACTCGTGAATTCTTCCCAAGACCAAGGCTTTCAGAATTCCTAATGGGTGCTCGCAAATTCGCTAATATTATGAGCTGCGATGTTCTTCGCGTAAAAAGCAATCAAACAGAATGTAGAAAAGTCAAAATCTAGTTCTTTGGTGTTGGAAATCCTATCCCGATATGATGCACAAAACAATATTTGGAAAACACCAACTCCACAACATTACCTACGCTTGAAGTATAAATGATGACCATTTCGAGAAGGTTCTCAATGATATCTAGCCAGCGGTCAAGGGAATTAGACCGTTTAAGAATAGGTTTAAGCAAGCATATCTAAATTACCTCACAGAGACGATCAAGCTTGGAAGTGCTCATCCCCCGTCCACACGTTGCCACAACATATTCCGAACATTCCCGTAAACATCTTGCGAGTACCTCGGTTTTAGCGACAGGAGCAGCTTCTGCAATAGCGAAACCTGCGCTAAGCTGTTACAGCCAAATGAAATTCATATTAAATACTTTGGCCAGATTCACATATCTTCAAATATCAAAGGTACATCTCTGTTAAGAAAACAGGTAGACAATCCATCAGAACCATGAGGTGGTTTCGAGGACGCCAGATGCGGGATGGTAAAAATAGTAAATACCGCAGACAGGAAGAGCTGTTCAAAAAGGTCTGATGGAGCAACATCTTCAAGTACATCGAGAGTACTTTCCCTGTAAAATAAAAACCCGAAACGTACAAGCTTAAATTACCAATCAGGTCTAGTTGCAGAATAGAAGTGGCCAAAATACAAAACAAAAGAACAAAATGTACATATATAACCGTAGGATAAGTGTACCAACCCGTGAATAGTCTGCTTAACTTTTAGAACTCATTCCCAGAAAAGGACTTACCCAGCAAGCTCCTCATCGAACAAAGGGGATTGCTTGATGGCCGGCACTGGTCTTGAAGACGACCACAGCTCTTGCCATAAGTTCCCTGAAAAACAAATACATTTGAATTGGAAACCCAGTAGTTTCGTTATAAATACGTTTCTATTCAATGGCAAAATCATTTCCCACGTAAGAAGATCATAAAAAGAATAACCTCGTGACTCATACAGATACAAAACTTGAGTTCGTATGGTCTTAAGTAGTGTCACCAGCCAGCGAATAGCAAAAGGTGAAGCAAACTGATATACCTAGCTACAGATCACATCCATCAAAGGTTTCTGGAAATGATTCAACATCAAATTGCATCTACCTTGGCTCTGCATCCGTGCACTGAGATAACCCCGAACAGCTCCAACTCTTCCAGCAATTTCTTCGCTTCCTTCAAGCAGAAGACCTGACCCTGGTTCTTCGCTCCAATCCAATGGAGAGTACCAGCGGACAAAGTCTTCTAGTATGCATCCAGGATTGGCGGCCTGAATCAAACACAAACCCACCCTCCATGCTTAAATGAGGTGGTCATTCCGCTACCAAGTAAATGTTCCTCAACCAAATGACTCAAAAGGATACAAAGTCATAAAGGATTATTAAATCTTCGATCACAACAAACCATAACAACCTCAACAATTCTAACGAGACAGGACTGTTTAGATCTTATGGTCACCTTGAAGGCTTGCATATCGGATAGAAGCTGTGAACATCCAGCACCAACACTGCACATGTGAAGTCAAGGAGTTAGAGCACTCCAGACCCTTGTTGACTACATGACAACATAGCGAAGCTGTACATAACAGAAAAACGACACCCAGAATAGTCTAAGTTTTGAGCATGATTTACATCTACACTCACCTTCTAGTGCGGAGAATAAGTTCCTCAGCTTCCCGTAGAGCATCTTCCGTCATGATAGGGTTTTCCTGCCGAAAGAAAACATCGTTACCTGTCAATCAATAGCAAGGTACTGAGCAGCACCGCATATAGTTTGCTTCTAAATGCTTAGCCAAACAAACAAGTGGAACGCTAGAAGTAACAGCAGAATTTGAAAATCCAAAAAAAGCAGTGGCTTTACTTGAGGGACGGGAGAATACACTGGTTCTCTAGTCTCCAACATCAAAAGGTCAGCAGCTGGGTAGTCAGCTCCCAATCTAAGAACCTTTTCCCCGGTCTTTAACTTGGCATAGAGAAGCACCGGAGGAGTTCCGCTAAGATTTTCTAGGGGTAACTTACACTTACTAACACTTTGTGGAGAAGTGCTCTCTTCATGTGCTACACATGAATTCAGGATTTCAAGAGATGCTAGATCTGCAACACGCCTTTTGCGTCTTGCAATGCAGCAATTTATCAACTGTAATTGCTGATGAAGTAAACAGTAACGCAGATCAGGGACTTCATCAATTGCCATGCGCGATATCGGTTGCCCCTCTTTCCACCGGCGACGCAACTTCATCCAAAGATATGACAAAGCTTAGTCAGCAAGTCATTAGCAGCCAAGCGAAACATACCAACAGCAGCAACGGAAAAATAAAAATAAAAATAAAAAAGAGGGTATTTCAAACTGCTCATTTTGAACATTATCAGATTGTTGCTCGATTGTTAGCATTGAAACTTAAGGTCTATTTGGGATAAAAAGGAAATATGTAAAAAGAAAAGCATCTGTGAGAATACTAGAATCATAGAGGATATTATATGTGTTACTTGAAGTTGTCAAGTTTATCTCGAAAATCTATCATTAGTCATTGAATCAGATAACTGTTTATTTAAACTAAAGATTTACCACTACACACTCGAATAGAGAAGGTGCATCATTAACTAGCACATCTGTGAAAAGTCCCAAGGAGTAAATAGACAGTTTCTACAGTCACTATCACGACCAAGTGCGGTTGAGCATTGATACCTCTTTTATCACCTCAAGCCAGAATTCACCCATGCCTTGCTCAGTTTTGATTCCAGCCATGATTTCAGCAAGCTGTGCTACAAAGCTATCTGGTGGCGCTCCATGAACCTCTTCCGGAAGCTTTGGGCCAGAGGCAAGCACGAACTTCCTAACTTCCCGATCTTCGTGTTGGGTATCTGCAGGTCTCATGGTGATAAGTTCTTTTTTTGAAAAAAAAAAAAAAAAAAAAAAAAAAAAAGAGAGAGAGAGAGAGAGAAGAAACTGAGACAAGCTGTAGAGACAGGTAGGTCAACGTGTTTTTTGCTCTAACTTCTTTGCAGTAACAATAGCAGATTCAAAATACAAAATATGTAACAGAAATTTCAGGCATTTTGGTCCTGTCAGGCGAAATTACCGAAAGAAACAAATAGCCACATCCAGTGCAGAGGATAAAATATAGCATACCTGCATCAAAAAGTGACCACAACAACGTCTGATAATCCCCAAGACTCGATGTTTTTGAAAACCTCAGTTTGTTGTCCTTGTCACGACCGCCACTTAACCGTTTCATTACAGCAAAGCTCGCCACTATTCCAGACCAGTCCCCATTGTTCGATAAAAGGTCTCTATCTAGTAGCCCTCCACCTTGGCTTGCCAATTCTTGCATACTCTTGACTGCTCTGCCAACCCTGTGAAATTAAATCCACCAAATTCAATATTAGGTTGAGAAACAAAAACCTTCAGTAATCTACATATGGGGAGCTGGTAAAGGATAAATCCCGAATTTCCCGAGTGCAGATGAAAACTTAATAGCTGACGAATACGCGGGAAACAAAACAAACTACAGCGTGTTTTGAAAGAAACCAACAACTCAGCGAATCCACCAATTCCTCAAACACACATTTCATAATACCTGAGTAAGATGAATTTCATAGTGCCATAGGTTATTCTCACAAGTAACATATGTCATGAAAACCAAAATTTCAACTTTGTAACTTATTGACATGACTAAACATGTTTACTTTCCACCACAGATTTATTGTCTTCTAAAAAGAGCTTCAGATAATAATGTAACAACGCCAATAAGCTGCACAATTTAATAAAATTTTACTCCCAAAACTCAAAAAGAAAACTAAATACCTTTCTTCAGTTTCTGCAGAGAAACAACGATCAGTGGCTATTGTACCCAAAATCTTGTACGAAAATGCATTCCATGAAGAGTGCAACGAAACTGATTGAATCTTACTCGATGGTGGCAGCAAGGCGGCGAACAATCACGGATGGAGGAACAGTAATAACGGAGAATGCTTCTTTGTACGCCTCCTCTTCTAATGGATCCTTCCTGAGACTCTGCGGAACAGCGTCGCAGATGACAATCTAGGTTAGCATTATGCGGCACGAAGATAAAACAACAAGCAAGTGGCTACAAATCAACCATTGACTAGTTAAGACAGAAACATGAGGCAAACCTTGAATAAGTATTTCTAGCAATACTATGGAAGAGGATTTATAATGTCAAGCAAGTATACTACACATACCTCGTTACCTATGCCAACAAAAGTTAGACGTCGTTCAATGTTTGACCAACTCCTTCCAACAGAGTTGTCAGAATCTGAATTGATAACATCCTGTCGAATACGTTTGACTGCAATGAAATACCGGCGCCAAAACTCCTGCTCCTTCATTTTCTTTGGCACGTATTGAAACCAGAGATCTTTCAAAACCTTGTCAACCTGCATATAGGAATAGTGAAAAGAGAGAGGTGAATTTCACGTCAACCGATAAAAAAGCTGGAACGAAAAGCGCTCACATCAGTGGGTAAAGGAAAATATGAACCAACAGTAAAAAATCAGAAAGTAAACAGAATATGGTTTTTGAAAGTACACATACCTCCAGAACATTTCCAACCAAGGTCATTGCAGTACGCATGTCGACAGATTCATGCTCATTATCTGGCCTCTCTAGGAAATCTTCTGGTTTCTGTAGTTCAGAACAAATATTGTACCACATGAAGCATCAGATCAAAATGGTTGAACCCTAGAATGAAATGGATCGGAACTGCTTCATATGCTCCTAAATTACCAACCAAAGTTCACGCAATTTTCCTTTGCCTTTATCTCTTATAAAGATACCCTTTACGAAAAGGGAATCACATAACTGACACTGGCTAAATTTCAAGTAAGCACTAATAATCAATTTAGGTTTGCATGGTAACATTTGATGGCATGTTCCAGCTCATACTTGCCTTAGACAGATCAAGAATACGTCTCTTGAATTCATCTTCGTACCGTCTCTCACTATCAGTCTTGGCACTCCAAGGGAACTCTGCATCTGCAAACAGGAGCCAGATAATAACATTGATCAAAACAACGAGTGATGCAAACATGAAACAGCGATATTTCAGTAGGTTTAACAACTTTTTAGATATTTGGATGTAATTCTTTAGGGGAAAAAGTCTAAATCGATGACTAATTCATCATTGACAACGACAATAAGGTATTTTCAAATTTTAGACGTAAATCAATATCCTTCACATGAGGATCAGCAGACCCAGTGTGCTCACCATGTTTGTGTTTACCACTATGCCGGGTAATGCCATCAAGAGTGAGAGGTCGACCAAAATCAGCTTTAATATCAGCCTTGATTTCAGTGAGAACCCGTTCCGCTTTTGCTGCTACATTCTGCAATGCTGGTAACAATCATCTGTATCATGTCAATTCATGGTCTTGCAATTTCACATGAAATGACTGAGACATATACCGCTGTATCTGAACACCATCACTCTGCTTTACCTCAAGACATATCATGCCCTGACTGGGTAATCGTGAAAAGAACAACAACTGGCCATATTTTGGGCTTCGGTTCCTTGTGATCTAACAAGAATAGACCTGAAAGACGAGCTGTAGAAGCTCTCACGACTACTGAAGACGCTACATATTCCAGCCCTTTGTCTGTCCGCAAGGTGAACTACACAAATTGCAGCATGACGATTTCGTTGATCCAAAATCACCGAGAACGGAAACTCTACCTTCCACATTTACGTGAGCATTAGTATCTCTAACGGATGACAGAATTACGTTTCCAGACGACAGCCAAAGCAGACCAAAAACAGCATAGCGCATGCGCGAGCACAACGAATGGAGTTCAACAACCAATTGCCTACCTGATTTCGCCTTCGATACCAATGACAATTCCATGAGGTGCAATTTGGGGTTTCCAAACAAGCGACGGCGATCCTGCAGTCGCAAATGCTCCAAGGTTAAATCTAGAGTCACCCTCCTAACAAAGCCGAACACATCCTCTGCACGCAGCGCCACTCCACCGGATCGACACACACCTCAACGCAATCCACCGGCCAGTCCACATCCTCCAATTCCTCCAGAGCGCGCACATTTACACCATGGACAAACTGCCGCAAACCATAAACCCTACAGGATCGTGAGGGAACACTACAAAAGCCGCCTAAAACTAAACCAGCGCTCATTCCACGCCGTCCGAGCGTCGACGACCTCCCACGACTTGCCACAGGGTAGACGAGGTTTACGCATGGCGCGAAATGGGAGACAAGATCCGTTCGCGGCGATCGGGGGCTCGATTCAGAGAGCGCGAAAAGACGGAGCGAACAGAGCGGAATCAACGCCGCGACAGACAGACAGATGAGTGTTGCAGAGGCGCGGAGCAACGAGACGATTGCTCGCATACGTAATGGGGGCGAGTGAGTGTGTCTGGCTATGGCGGGCGCAGGGCTTGGTGCTCTGCGAAAGGCGCAAAGGGAAAGAAAGAAAGAAAACGACGGACTGACTTCATCTCCCCCTCATTCATCCATCTGGTTCGTTCATATTTTGGATGAACTCCATTACATCCATACATGTTCTTCATTCATCTATCCTTAATAAATTATTTTATTGCAATGTCAGCAAAGGGTCAATTCAAACACGCGTTCTATTAGATCCTCTACTTGGACCCTACCTCTATTAGCTTCACTATTTTGCTTCATACACTTACTTCATTACCACCAAAGTAGCCCCAATTCCTAAGGCATTTCTACAACAAAATGCCCCCTCCCCAGCCTTAATTTTGAATGGTTTCACAACCACAACAACAACAATAAAATTCCTACACATTCCCCCCTTGCTAACTTGTTTCCCACATTTTATTAATTCAAGCTTTTGAACAAATCAATCCTCATTTATCACTTTTTAAGAAACTCACTTTCACCAAACAAAAATTCTCCCCTTCCTTTGATGACTACTAGTTGAATTTTTAACATTTTGATCATTCTTCCATTATTCTATTTGAAGTGTCACCAAAGGCAAATGTGTTCCAATTTCATTACTCCTAAGCAAGTAAACATGAATAGGGGCCCACTTTCTTATGAGAAAGTCTTGAGTGGTGAACAAGTTCCAACAACTTCTTTTTGTGAAAACTTGTAAAATGCTTTTGGTTTTGTAGATGTTTTTGTACATTCATTCTCAAAAAGTTTAGCTTTATTCTTTCATATCATTCTTGAGGCAAGCATAAATTTTTACATCCACAAGTGAGTGTTTTGGGAGCTGTAGACAGGGCATCCAACCAAAACACTAAGAAAATTTCAGTGCCATGAGTAAATGAGTTCAGTTGTAGCTGTATAGACACCTCTACTATTCTTTTGCATCCTTCCTTTCCATTTATATGATTATATTCCTCAACAAATATTTGAGACCCAACACTAAGATGCGCTTGTTGATAAGAACATGTCTAGTGAGGCAAGTGGAGATTTACGGCCCACTCTTCCTTGGAGGACTTTTACACTTTATTTTCCTTTCCTTTAATTAAATATTTAATAAAAAGAATCTAAATAAACTTCATACAACTCCATTTTGTTCCTTTTTGTTCTATATGTCCTTTTTTGCATCCACAATGTTTGGCCTTCCGAAGTCTCTATGCCATGTCATTCATAAAACGCCTTTTCACTTCCTTGAAGTACATGACATGATTTTTCTTTCATGTCCATGTCTTGTTTATGAAGATATATAATATATTTCATAATAATGTATCTTCAATATTAAAATTAAAATTTTGTCATCTTGCTGATGTCCAAACAATGGCTGCTATAAAGTGTCAATAGCAAACATCATTCCATTGTTATTTCTGTGATTATTTATTTTAGTACAAGTGAACTTAAATATATGTATGTATTTTCACTGTTCCAAATTTTAAAATTTTATGGATTTATAAATTTCTGAAATTTCACTGATGAGAATTTTTCTTTCTTTCTATTTTTCATCCACAATTTGGTTTCCACTTATTAGAACTGCAGTACATTTAAGTTACCTACAAAAATGTTTTACAGTAAAAAAAAAATAAACCTTTTGAAATTGTGTTGACATGCCATCTACAAATTTAGTATATTTTTCGCTACTTTGACAAATTTTAACAGATTATTTCTACACATGCTTTCACTTTCTAAAAATTATATAAAAACAACTTTTGATGGTATTTATACATGCCACTACACAATGCATTCATAGTGCATTATTATTATTACTATTATCATCATCATTATATAAATTTTATCCTTTCAATTTTGTTTGTTGAGCATTAGTATTTTTTATTAAGATAATTGATAAAATAATAAATAAATAAATAAAATTGGTGACAATATATAAGAAAAGGAAAACCTTGTTCATAACCACATGATTGTAAAAATGTTTCAATAAAATTCAATGTGAGGTACATTCAAAGTAGATAATATAATTTTTCTATGAATGTATATAATTTTGTACAAATTTGAACACTGGTTATAATTTGTAAATATTGCCTTCACAAGTGCTTTTAGAATTCAAATACCAAGCATTCAAATTTTGCTTTTATGCTTTTTTACATGCCTCGTATTTTTACTTCTTCTCTGTATATGGTTTCAAAAATTTCCACATATGTCTTACACTACATTTAAGCAAAAACATGTGCTTAAATGTTTACATTAAAAAACAGATTTAAAAATCGAATCATCCAAGTATTGCATATGTTACTTTCTTCTTTTTTCTTTTTAGTTAAAAACAAACCTTTAAATTTGTTAAATAAAGTGCACTCTTACATACTCTCAGTAATCTCAACTAGATTTAAATATCTTTCACAGTGTGTTTTTATGTTTATCTTTGAATTACATTAAGATGTTTATAAATGTTAATTTTTTCCTAGAAATAATACAAAAAACTTAATACAACACTATAAGCATTTAAACTTTACTTTGTAAAACACATCCTCTGTTTCTTTTGTTACCTACTTATAAAATGTCAAACGAGTAACTCAGCAGTAATAGATCTATTACAAAAGTAAAGTATTGGAATTGGAATACAGTATAAAAATGTTTTTCAAAACATAAAAAACTTATTTGATATAAATGAACCAATTTTATTATTCTATTAATTTTAAAAATGTGACGATGAATCCTGTTGATAGGAATAGTTAAATTGGAATCAAAATACAAAGTAAGATTTTGTTCAAAAATATATAATTGAATGTGTCATTAACATGCTCAAGAAAAATAGATCAACAAACCAAAAAAATTAAAAATCTTGGGTGGAGCCAAAGAAAATTGAGTTGTGTTTTACAAATGCAATGTTAGCATTCACAAACTAAATTTTGGTTACAAATAATAGCCTCACACCCTTAGGCTACATGAATTGTAAAATTATGCCTTAAGAAGTTTTTCTCCAAGGCTATATATTAAAATAAGAAAAAGTAATATTGTGTTCAAGTGTAACATAACATTTAGTATATTACATCAAGAAGTAGCAATGCAGAATTTCCATCAACAAACCTTGTCTTAATGCATACACAAAAAAATGAACCCTTACATCTATTCTATGCAAATGATATACCCAGTGGTATTTAAGCATCATGTTTGGATTATGGTTCTGGTTAATGCATGTTGCTGTTTCAAAAGTTTTTTTCTTTTTTTTCTTTTTAGAATAAGAAGTGTTATAAATTTTATGAATTAGTTCTAATGTCATGGCCTTGATACATTTCAAACAAATTTATGTCAGTGTTGCCTATTATGGCTTGGATCATGTTCTCTGGACATCATACAAAAGTTACATTACAGCCAATGAATTACCACATTTTTAAAGCACCAAGTTCTTGTACACCTGTTACATTTTTAGCAAATTATCTGAATTGACTTATTTAACAGAATTTGTTTCTCATGGCACGAAGGTTTTAGATTTGGTATATGCAAATTTGTGTGGTATGGTGGACATCTTTTCATTAAGCAGCACACCTCTTTGTTCTTATTCAACAATCACTACTATTGTATCCACATTTAAAGTTTTAAATGAAAAGTTGACTACTTTGCTCAACTTCAACTTAGATAAGTCCCCAATTGAAAAAACAAACAGGTTAACGTGTATATATTTATTTTTACTCTATGATTAGAAGATTTACGTCCAACAACTTTGACAATTTTTGTTAGAATCAAGGCATTTATATATAAATCATCTGTATTTATAATCTATCTCAATGTAAATTTTGTCAATGTAAAAATTAGATTTTAGTGGAATTCACTCTAGGTATGCTCCGCATTGCAAAACTTGTTAATTTTCATTAGATTTTTATTTTATGGTTTGACAAAACGAATTTTCTGAAACACCCACTTCCACAGCTTCAGACTTCGTACATTAATTGGCTCAAGTAACCTTGATTGGACTAGAGTAACCTTGATTTAACATTATATATGCATGTATTCAAAAAGAATAATATTATTGATATTAATGTTAAATTTTTAATATATTAATCGTAGATTTTGAAGTAATTTATTTTATATTTCTATAACATTTTCATGCATAATTTTTAAGAGAATGGTATTTGACTATTTTAAAATAATAATTTGAGTACTCAACATACATAATTTTTTCAATCACATCATTTAAAGTTTGATACATGATTCCTTGAAATCAAAAAACTATGTTATTCAAGATTTAAGTTATATATATATATATATATATATATATATATGTACATAAAAAAAAATATATATATATATATATATATATACACACAAGTATAATAATATGTGAATAATTTAATTGATATACTATTTTAAATGATTTTTTAAATTTTTGGTGTATAATGAAGTTGTTTTAAGAACCTCCTTAAAAGGTTTACCGCATTATTGATTCTCCTCTTAAATTCCAATCCCCAATATTAAAATAAAAAACATCAAATTTAAAAGTAGTATAATTTTAATTTATGATACACATGCAATTCCTTTGCGCCTTTAGTCAATCTTTGCAACGTGGAAACCCTGCCCGCGCAAGGAATAAGCAAAGTTTGTGGGCAGCCTGCCGCAGTTGGGCCACGGCGTTGGGATAAAGCCATCCATCCCATGCCGAGTCAGCTTTGGGACGCGTCACACGCCACCATCGCACGGAAGCAGTCCGACGTGGAAAGACACGGTGAGGCAGGGGTCAGAGATAGGGGTGAGATCGGGGATGGGGGATGCCCCCATGTCCCCCTTCCCCGTGTGTTGGTACCTGCGCGGGGGAGTAGTAACTCTCTCTCGCCCTAACGCGCTCTCGATCTCTCGCGCTCTTGCTGCCTGCGCCGCCTGCAAGCCAATCGCACGCTCCCTACTGCCTAGCAGCGAAGATCACCCCCCCCCCTCCCTCCCTCTGATCATCCCTCACGCTGACCCGCCGAGGCTTCCCCCCACCCCACGCCATTTGACCTGCAGCATTACGAAGTCAGCTCCGCCGATCGCGTGGTCCAGCTTCGAGGAGCTACTCGTTTTTCACACGCTTGGTGCGTCAGGGACTCCAGGTGACTCAGTAGGTGAGCATTGCTGCGGGGACGAGGGATGTGGGAAACGAGTGGCGTTCTCACGTACCTCTGTGGCTCATGCAAGCTCCCCAGCCTCTGTACGCTTCTTGTTATTATAATCAGGGGTCGTTTTTACTGGGGTTGAACGTTTCTCTGTAACCGTGTCAAGTGAGTGCCTCAGACATTTTTGAACACATCCTCACAGAGGGGTCTTCTATGCGGCGGAGGGATCAACGACTCCTCCCTGCCGCTGGGTCTGGATGCGATCCCGCAAGCTTGAGTTGATTTTCGCTTGGGTCGTTCCTTTGATGATAAGTGCAGTGTTCTGCAGACCTTTGACCCAGGTTGCAGGAACTGATCCTGTGAGGTGAGAGAAAGTATATGGATGAATGTTTTGCGTGGCACGCTACGATTAATAGCCAACCCGCATCCTCTCATTGTTCCCGTCACAAGTGGAAAGATATCACTCCAACGAGCATGTATCCCGGAGCCAATTTTTCGTAAAAGTATAGGTTCATGTTAACCATAAATGTAAAAACATATTTTAAAAAATGAAAACATGCAGGGGATTTCATACTCTTCCTACACGTGAGGATCTCCTCTGGAGATTATATGTTGTAACGTATCTTGTACAACTCGTTACGCCCCGGAAAAAAACAAAGTTAAACATGGCCCCATGTTCTTAAGAAGTACACTGCTTTTTATTTTTTTATTTTCTCTAGACAACTCTCGACTACTGGCTTCAGATATGAGCGAAGCGTTTTCTGCTGTGTTTGCATTTATCATGCTACAGGATGAGCACGACAAGGTGCTACTACAATTGCCCAATATGGCCAAGCCTAGCATCAAGAATCGGCACGAAAGGGAGTTACCGATACCAAGACATGTGATGTCACAGATTACGTCTGTTGTAACGCTACTTGTGGACAAGACGATCACCAAGCCTATTTGTACATGTCCAAGACATCCTCCAAAACTCCCTGTAAACGTGGACGCATCAATGAACTTGGCGGACGGGATGTACCCAACTGTACAGTGCTGATAGAAGCACTCATTTCTACTGTTTGCGTTATCGATCGGATCAAGCTGTGATCAACTTGCTCTGCTCTCGGAAACTTGCAAGAAGAGGTCCAAGCATCAGCAATCCCTAGAACATCCGAACCTTTGTACACCACAACTGTCATCAGCAAAGAATGTGACGCACATCGAAGAAATCTTCTTGACACAGCAAGTCATGCAAGGTTGGCTATAAAAGGTGTAGCAGCTTCCGGGACTGCTTCAATTCATTGATTTTGTTTCCACTTTGAACAATGTTCAACGAATTGGTGACAAAAGCTAAAAGTTTAATACACTGAAGGATTCTACCTCTACTTCGCCTAGTGTCCAGTGAAAATTATCGAAATGATCTTTAGGTATGTCCTCGAAGTGGCAAGCAAGCCGCGAAGAAAAATGTGGCCGTAATGACAAGAGCCTGCACCCGCACGCGGCCCTGAAAGGGTCGCTGCTCATTGTACTATCTATATAAAGACTGGATGATTCATACATGTTTACAGAGTGGGTAAGAGTCAGAGGCGAAGGAGGAGATATAATTTCAAACCACTGTTCGCCAAAATCATGCCACCTCCGGACGCAGGTCCAAGTTCATCTCACTGTCGTCTCGCACCTTCGACCGACAGTATTCGATCAAAGCTTTAGAGCTAATCTCCATTGCCCTGATTCCTTAGGATTACTCAAATCCGATGAAGCAATTTTAGGTCAATGGTCCTGGGGTATGGAGGATCGTGATCAAGGGAGAGGAACCCGGACCTCCACAGATATGTACTGGTAACAGCAGATGCACCAAACTGCAACAAACAATGCTCTACGCCTCAAAGAGCGTCAAGCTCGAAATGATAGACACAATCAACTTTTTCAGTAACTGTCAATGTCAGACAATGTCCTCCAGCAATCCTTCGGTCGAGAAGCAGCCTGAAGATGGCGTAGTGGAGAGTAAAGGATGTATCACTTGTGCACGCGATGCGTGGTGAGGCAGTGTGTTGCCCCAGCACATGACGTCTTGCATCAAATGCCCCAAGTCTTTCATCAAATACCCACTCCGGAATCTAGTATCACCATCCAATTGTGGTTGTGCTTCGTCCTGTCCGCCGTCGAGTAATTTCTGCGCCCGTAGCAAAGAGTCTGGAAGAGGCGGTATCGCGGTTCCGGAGGCAGGAACTGGTCCGCCAAGTAAACTAGCCGGGTCGACCTGGTTGATACTCGGGGTTGGCCTCAACGGACCCCCCTGGCTTGACTTGTGTTGACTGCTAGTGGCTGCATCCATGGTCGTAGGAATCTCATACTTTACGACTGATGCTGATGGTGCAGGAAGAGCAACGTCTTGAAGAGGAAAGCTGCTGGTTGAAGTTGAGGTAGGCGGGTGGAATGGAGCGCCACCAGGCGGGTGCTCTCCAGATGCGAAAAGAAGAGGCTCATCGGAGGGACCCCTGGACCCAGTCACAGGCGACACATGGGTGTGCGTGCCTTCATACGTTGTGATCACCAACCCTGTGTCTTCAGCGGATCGCTCCACCCTCTTCCGGACAGGGCACATCATATGTGTACACCGATAGTAACTCCTGCATGTCACCAAGTTCAACAAGGTTGAATAAATTATGCTCGATATCTATGCTAATTTCTCCGTAAAAGTCTTGCCGATTTGATGTTATGGAGATTAGAGAACGTGCACGTGAGGAGGATCACTCTGGTTTTGGAATTCCATTTTAAAGTGAAGAGCACAAACGTACCGTGGATGGGGACTGTTTTTCACGGCTTTCTGACCATACTTGCGCCATTTATATCCATCTTCCATGATTTCCACGTCGCTAGGAGTCTGAATGGCGTACCGAGGTTCTCTCACTCGCTTAAGTCCCTTTCTACGCAGCTTGCTGCATCTATAAAGAAAGTCAAAATGAAAAGAAAAAAAAGCTTTAAAAACTCCACAACCCCTTGACACAACGTCCCATAATTTAAAAACGACATGCTACGTCGCCAAACCCTTCCGGGCACTCCCACTGTGCAGTCGCCGAGTCAGTGCGCGATTTCTAAAACTGAAAGCAGGGCAGCCTTGCAATGCGAATAATTCTCAAGGCAGAGGGTGAGATATGGAGAGAAATGAATCGAAGCTCACGATTTCTTGGCATCGTGGGACTGAATCTCGTCGCAGCTCTCTTCCATGCCGCAGTCAAGCGTCTTGCGTTTGGTGCTGCTGCGCCCACTCGGGCCCGCAACGGGCTGGGGTTGTTGCAGCGAAGGTGGCCGGCTAATGGAGCCGCCAATGCCATGGTGGGAATGACCTTCCTCTGCCGCTGCATCGCTGAAGCTGCCATAGCTCATGGAGGAGTTCGGCGTGCTTGGTAGAGTGGATGCGGCGGAATTCAAAGGTGTGGAAGTGGACGGCGATCCCATCACCCCAGGAGATGCCCGGGGAGAGTGCATAACAGCCGTTACTCCTGATGAATGGGATGTCTTCTCCGTCGGTGCGCCCATCGTCATATCAATCGTAAAAGCAGGGCTGCTGGAGACAACTTGCAGCTGTTCCCAGGATGCGGGTGTGCTCAGAAGATCCTGAAGCCTATCGACGTACATGTTCACGTGACGAGACTCCACGCTCTCTTGCGAGAACCATGGAGGATAATCCGGTTCCGAGGTCCAGAGCCCGTCTTGCTGTGATTGGGCCTGGATGCTGGACGTCGCAAATCCAGTGTTTCCAGTGCTGCTCTTAAACTCGCGGGAAGCCGCTGAGTATAAGGCGGGGTCAGGGAGTGCGCAGCCGTTCCACCCAACGGCAGGAGAAGACATGGAAAGCAGCTCTAGGAGGAAAGAAGGTTGAGATTGGGAGAACGACACGGAGAAGTCACGTTGACCAGGAAATACGGTCGAGGGCTGCAAGAAATTCTGCTGCACCTCATGTCCAACCTGCGGATTCTGACTCTGATTTTGCGAGTTCACCTCCTCGCTTAATGATCGCATGAGGCGCTCCAAGTCAGCTTCTCGACCTCTCATGTGATTGCCACCTTCGTCGTTATCTCGCACCAGGAGCGAAGCAGAGGCACTAGACATGTCTGGCGGCGGCCTTCCGTATCCGCGCTCAAACCCCGCAAGAACTTGTGCTAGCTCCAGCTTTCCTGGCTTTCTTGTCGCAAAACAACTCAAAAAAGAGGACCAAAACCCGATGCACCCACTAAGAACTAAACGTTGAGCTGTTCTTTGTGAACACCGATATTCCAGACCCTTGCACCAATGCGGCGCAACCAAACGGTGTTGTGAAATCAACGCGATGAGAATGTCCGAGGAAGCTTTTCGCACTAACAGAAAACGTGGAATTTGGCTCTCGCTGCAAGATGCTACCTGCTAGGAAGGGTAGTGATGGGAACTCAAGCCTTCGGAAGCAGGAATAACAGTGCATTGGACGAATTGCTGGTGGACAGTGGACAAACATGAACAAGTTCAAGTTGTTTCGCATGCAGCCGCGGCTGTGAACTGCGTGAGAAGAGAGCCACCATTTGGTATAGATTAAAATTAGATTAGGCTCTCGCTATAGCTCTCTCTCTCTCTCTCTCTCTCTCTCGCTGTTTGCTGTGAAGAAACTCCTGCTAAGGAAACTACAGATATAGGCAAAATGAGGAGGGGGGAGGGAGAAAAAAAGAAAAAAAGAAAAAAACAGAAATGCTGAACACGCGAAAATGCAGAGTGGCTTGTATTTCAGAGACCAAAGGCAATCCTTATTATCAAGTGGCCTTCGCAGGTCCTGCTTGCGTCGTGTACAACCCTCTTCCAACTTTTGCAGCCTTCGAATCCTTTGCGCGTCCACACCAACCGCCTGAACCACACAGATCAACACCGCTCACTCACACGCTTTCGAAACGGGTCACGAAAGAAGGCAGTCTATCGCTTCCTCCAAGCGCAGATATGATCAACACTCTCTCTCTCCACTGAGGCCTTGTATTTTTTCCAGTGAAGGCAAACACAGGACGCGGCACACAAAGAATGCTTTCAAAGCATCATCTAACGCAACCACTTCACACTGTACTTGAAGTCGGATGAGCAGCAGACCTCTACAACTCTTCGCAAACTCACCACGTGCCTCGGAATCCACCTCTCCCAAGCGAAAATCAAAAATAAAAAGAAAAATCAAACAGGCCCTTCCTTCTTCCCCTCACAACTCATCTCCCCCTTCACAATCCTGTTGCCATGGTCAACTACTCTCCTCCCTCTTACTCTCCCTTAACCAACTTGCATGTCTCAAAGACGACGACGCCGAAGACGAAATGTCCCTCACATTCAAGAGCACACACAAAGATCGGCTACTCAACAAGCAGCAGCAGCAGCAGCAGCAACAGCGGAGGCATCATCCACAGCAGTGAATGCTTGATTTGAGATTTACGGTGAAAGGAGCACTCAGTTTAGCGTCGATCTCGTATCCCCCGTCGAAGAAACAGAAGAAGGAAGAGTATCCAGTGGAGTGGGCAAAGCAGGCACCCGAGCTGACCGTGGATGTATCGCGGGCCGGGTGATGCCGGCATCTACTGTCGGTAAACGGACAGCTCCGCGCGGCCAGCACGCTGACTTTCGTAGAGAAAACCTAGTCGAAAGAAAAGGAAAAGAAAGACACAAAGAAAAGAAATATGGTGGCAGTTGCCCCCCCACTTCTGCCCTTAGACCTCTGGCCTTTGTCGTTCATCCATTCGTTTTCCTTTTTCATTCGTCCACCGGTTACCCATCCTCATGAGCAATCCATGCCTTAGTGTTTTTACACGATAAGAATATCCCTCGTCGTAAATATTCCTATAATAATAATACTTTAGTATTGTACAGTTTAGTTTTGAAAGCCTATATACCTGGTATCGTCCCACAATACTTATATTTTCAAGGTTTGAAATTCACATAAAAGTTGACAACATGAAGACAAATAATTAAACACACGCATATAAAATCTGTATCTTTCATTGTATACATAGAAAATAAAAATAAAAATATTCTCACAATTAAAACAGTACTATGTCGTTGTACAGTCAAACAAGTGGGTCTATCCTAAATCAACAATAACAAAACTGTTGGTAATGCATGAAGAATTAAAAGGGACAAGTGCTGAGAAAATCACTTGACACAGTTCGCTCGAAACGTTAATTTATTTTTGGTCTCTACTTGTAGTCTTTTAGGTGCCACCTTTTACATTTATCTTCTCTTAATGATATATGATGATGTGATAAAAAAACAACAATAATAACAAGGAAGATAAACGTCATGTTCATGAAGGTTATAAGTAAATTGTGGAACGTAGTTTTGGAAGCCTTCAAAGAATTGGGCACTGTATGATTGCCATACTCATCCCTTCATCTTTGGAGTTTACTTGCAAAACCACCAATCTCACTCCAACACGAACCAGTACAGTCCGGGGTGTTCTTTTTTGTTGAGGAACTTCATCTAAATTTGACATAAAAGACACAGAAGCCACTTGCACTTGGGCCAACTCTGCAAACTATCACCTGAACAGAAACAAAGCACTAGCTCAATCTACCAATACAAAAAATCTTTGTCTTTGAGGTGCGAGATGTGCAGTACATTCCTCATAAATTTTATGGTTTATCTCTTGGAAAACCATAGTTAAAATTAAAACAAAATTTAAAGGCCCTCTAAGCAGTGGAAATCTAGATAATGGAAAGCTAAGTCCAACATGCACCGAACTGGTTTCTATGACAGTATTTATGGAGAATCCCGTGTTACAAGCGGCAGCTGCTGCTGAATCAGAAAAATGGCAGGTATTTATAGGCAGCAATGACCGGCGAAGTGCCAATGTGTGGGACAAGTAACCCTGCTGCATGGGACCCAATTGTTCCACCAGACCAATTTGTGCATCTCGGGGAGGTCACGTCACCCCCCGAATTACGATGCCGATTAACACGCTGCTGGTTTGGTTTCTTAATTGCTGTAGTGGTGAGGTAGATGTGTGCGCTGCAGTTGGTGACGCAGGCTCGAGGGTCGATGTTTTCCCAGCAGCGCAAAATCTGAAAGCCGCGCAGCTGGGTTTTTGCCCTGATCGTCGGCCGAGCATGGCCCCGTTGATGTAATAACACCAAGCGTGACATAAATCCTCCCTCCCCCACTCGAGAGAACATGGCCTTGGGGTGGGTCAGACCCAACCACCACAACTTTAGCAACGTGCATTATACAATATTTTCTTGGAGAGAACCGAAAGCGGGACCATATTCGTGAGACTTCAGCTCGCACGCATCGGCTTCGGAACGAATTACGAGCAATGTCGGCCCTCACCTGCCTGAGGGTACTGGCACACTGCCGTACTATACTCCAATCTGCATAGATATCAACCCTACAAAACTCATTATCTTCCCTCTTCCCGCAGGTCTTCCGCAGGTGCTTCGAAATTGCCGCATCATATACAATTCCCTTTCCCTGCCTGAACCGGCTTCCGAATGAGTTTCCCGTTGACCCTATCCCCTCCCCCCACTTCCGTTCAGAACAGTACTAGACAAGTACCACACCACACACTCGAGAATCAGGGGGAAAGGTCGAGAACTGAGCTCGTGGGGGTCAGTGCTCCAGATTCAAATTGCATGTTGCTGCCCAAAGAGCACCTCCCTCCCGCCGTCCCCGCTGCAATGGTGCATGAGCGGTGCGCATAACCTGGCAGCAGTGTGAGTTGGGCTGGAAACAATCTACAGTGTAGTAGTTTTTCCTCTGTCTGTCCGCTTTGAGAGAGGGAGACTGACGCCATCTCTGAGTCACCCAGGACGCAAATAGGCTCATAAAAGACGGGGCATGGCATTCTCGTGCTGTTAATGTGATAGCCACATGTCCTTCCTCCTCCTCGCCTTGCAATCTCGGGGACCACAGCTCCCCTCACTCTGTCCTCTCCCTGCTCTTGCCCCCCCCCCCCCAACCCCCTTGCCTAGATTTAGGGTTATGGCTCCCCGAACCACCGGGTCCCCTTCACACTGCAGCGCCTGACTATACATTGTCTGCCCGCCGCATCCCAGTTACCTTACACACGAAGGGATGTGGGGCAGGTGCCCAATTCGGTCCTTTCTCAACTGGACTAAGTTACTGTTCAGGCTCTCTGTCTCTCTGTGTCTGTATCTCTTTCTATTCCTGGTCTACCTGACAAGTGAATTGTTCTGCACCCCCCCCCCTCCTTTAAATTTTTTCATTATACTACGATAATAACATGGATTTCGTGAGGTGCGCGATGCGGATGCCATTCCCACGAGGTCATGTGGAAGCTGGCCATTGGGGAACCTCCTGTAGGCTGCCATGCATTCCCAGTTTAAAATACATGTAACTACTGTTATTGTATATTAATCGCATTTTTCGAAATAAAAAAATATATAAATTTCGGGCTTGGAATGAAGTGAAATAGTTGGCTGATAATAGATAGGAGAATTGAAAATAAACCGAATTTACAAAATATTTTAAAACCTACTTGAAATCCGCCCACAGTGTTAACTTTTGGACGTAACACATAATACTTGATATTGTTCACTCAATATGAAAAGAGATATCTTTTGAACTTGTGGATCTTGTAAATAGATTCAACACATCTCTTTGTGTCTTGCAATCTTTTAAACCAACTTGAAAACTCCAGAATGCCACACACAAAACTTTCACCCCAACACCCCCCCCCCCCATGTTTCAACTGTAAGACATCAAAATGCAATGAAATAAATTAAAACCCAACTCTTGGTATTTAACTTTTAAAAAATCCAGACTTTCATAATTTTGTTCCTAACACTAACAATGGCTATCATATGTTTAATTCTACTGCACAGTATAAAATTTTCAAGAGCATCATCAAATTTTTTAAATTTTTAACAATGATTGAAATTGTAGTAATTGCAACATAGCTTGTCAATTTCCATTAAACTATCAACAATGTGCCACCAATACATAGTTGTTGATAGCAAATGTGTGACAGCATGTATCTTGATTTTAAAATTAGAAATAAACAAAATCAAATCAAAATCAAAATCAAAATTTAAAACATTTATATCATCAGTAAATCAAAGTTAGAAAGTGAACACTCATCATAAATATTGTAATCATTGTTACCAGTTGACTGTACAAAGCAATCTGAACCAAATCAATGTTCATCTTGTTGCACAATGTCTTGCACAACTGCAACCAAAGCTAACAAGTGTTTTTTTTGTGAAAAACAGGACCTTTCTTGAAATGAATATTCATCAAACAATCTACCACTCCCTTGCTAAACTATTGTGAAGAAAAGAAAGAATAAAAAAAAAGGACCAGGTGAAATTCACAAAGGAGTTGTATCTTATAACCGTAATCTATGGTTGCGAAAAGAGAAATGGCCAACATAATGTATCCAGTAAAGTATGAAAACTATTAAAAGTAAAATGTATGAATTTTAGTTTTTATGTGTCCGAATTAGTATTTTATGTTAAGAAATTATAGGATTTTTTCGCTCTAAAAATAAACAACATATTATACAAATTGAACAAAATAAACTTACAATTACTAGCAATTTGTTTCAAATTAGCTTAGAATTATTTGAGATTGACAGCTTTTTCTTTTTATTTATTTATATATATTAATTTTAATTTCAACTGGTACAACAAGTAGTAGAGACAATGGTAAGTATTGGTGAGTGACAACCATGCTATGGATGAGGTCCAAGCTTCAAACACCCATGCAAGTGGGGAGGGACCAATCATCCTTTCCTTGGGTACTATTTAACACATGCACTACACTGTTTACAACCTAAGTATTTTCACTTGGACATCATCCTCATTGTCCTTGACCTAATAAAGTAAATGAACATGCCAAAAAGGAATTCAAATTTACCCTAGTTCTTAATAGTTTAGCAATAGTTTAGCAAGGGAGTGGTAGATTGTTTGATTCCTGAGTGCACACCCCTCATTTTTGCTGGATTTTGTCTCTTTCCAAGTAGTGCTCATACATTCACTTGGTGGTGGTGGTCCATTTTCCAGGTGTTCATTGGTAATGTGCCCACAAATGCCTGTAGAAAGGGCCTTACAAAGTTGCCTTTTTCCCAAGCTAACCACCAGAAATTGATTGTGCTACAGAGAATCACCCTGAGAGTGATAAATAATGGCTCAAATAAATCCCCATATCAATAAGTCCAAGCATTTGTATATTGAGATAGAAAGAACACATTTTTTTTTTTTTTGCACTTCTTTTTTCGGGGAAATAGTTGTCAGGTGCACAAAAAGAGGAAGCATCAAACCATCACAGTCTACCTACAAAGGAAGCAGACAGATTTTCTGTTTCATAAGCTGCATTAGAATAAAGTTGATTAGTTAGCAGGGTGTGGGCAATTCCCCTTCTTCTATCAAAAGAATTTCATCAATCAATGTTAGGAAGGATTGGAAGAGTGTTTTTAGCAATCTTGTGCATATCACCAAGCTTCTATAAACAGCCAAAATATTTTTCTTTCTTTGGCTTTGGCATTAATGAGTGGTGTGAAAGTGCCG